CTAACTTAATAAAAACTTCTTTAATTTTAAAAAAATTGATTTTTTATATTAAATTCTTATATTTGTATCTTTAACTCCAAGTTTCTTGGGATTCACAAGGCTGATTTTGATGATCTAACTACCATTAGAACCAGAAAAATCTCTTCTACAACTTTACTTAGAAGCCCAACAGACCCTAACTTAATAAAAACTTCTTTCATTTTAAAAAAATCAATTTTTTATATTAATTTATTATATTTTCTATATTAAATGCTAAAAATAGTAATTTTTGTGTAACCATAGTAGAAATAGCAAAATACCATGGTGAAAATAGATATTCTCTATATTTATTGTTTTTTTTTTGATAGTAGAATTGTACAAGTGAGATCATTTTTTTGCTTTAGTTCAATTTTCCATAATTCTATACTCTGTTCTTTAGATTTGTATTTCATTTAAGATTTTAATATTATCTTTTTTTATATGTTGTATATATCATCATATGTAACAAAATTATCTCGAATTTGAATTGCATTATTTTGATTTTTTTTTTCTATATATTTTCTAAATCACATGTATATTTTTAAAGAGCCAAACAATTCCTTTAATATTTAATCTATTCTAAATATATTTAGCAATCTAATCACAGATAGCATAAAGGGTTTTTATTGTGATTGGCCAATTTTTGTAGATCATCCTGTGATATCAAAAATTTTATTGGTTAATCGAAATTTTAACTAAATCATTACAAATAAAGAAGCTTCTATATATAAAACCATTATATATGCGACGAAAGTAATACTGGCAAAGTTTTTACCATTAAATATTGATAATTTTAAATCTAAAACTGTAATTTTTGTCGCAGACAAAATTCCAACAAAACAAAATTTTATTAAAGAAAAAATTCTAATATATACGAATCAAAAAAAGAAAAAAAAAACCAAAAACAAAAAAGAATAAACCAAATACAAAAATTATAAGAAATATATGTTTAATACTATTCTAGAATACTAATAACAAATAAAGAAATAACCCAAATAAATACTCAGTACTTGTTCCAATATTAAAACTGATCTTAATTGTTATATAGTTACAATGCACGACTTCGTTTCAACTCTTATGAATTCTATAAGCCCTATAAGCTCTATACATAACTTCTAACTTTATATTACTTGTTATTAATCTAGATAATAGTTAGGTTTCTTTATTAGTTGTGGTATGAAAAGTAAGTTTTCACAAATAAAGACAATAGAACAACTTAAATTGCCCAACTTTAATAACTTTTTGTATCTATAGCCTAAACTCAAACGTTCAAGCATACCTTTTATCTAACTTTTGAATTACTTCGCGGATTATCAAATTACTTTGGTAGTTTATAAAACAAGGTATATACTTTTAAATTCTTTTGGTCTTAACTAGAGCTGCTGGTGAAACTAAATCACACTGGTAAAACTAGTGACTATCTAAAATCTGATTGGCTATTGCATTTAATAGCCAATCAGATTTTAGATAGTCACCAGTTTTATCAAGTTTCACCAAGTTTTACCAAGTTTCACCAGTTTCACCAGCAACTCTAGTCTTAACTCTTACTAATTCGTCCTCATGCTTACTAATTTATTTTTGTACTTGCAAAACATTACACAATATGTAGAACATATTGTATAATATTTCGGTCAATCATCCAATCAAAATTAAAGCCCTCTATGCTATCATAGATACCTTTTGAAAGTCTCAAGATGTCGATATCACTATCAGTACCTGGAACATGATTGGTATGTGAAGTATATTTTAAAAACATTTGTAGTTCATTAAATATATACTTTATAGTAATAATGATTTGTGATTTGCAATCATATTTTTGCTTTTTTTTTGGTTAAACCTTGGCTTTTTATTAGAATAACTTTGGCCTGCTACAGTTTGGTAAGTTTCTAAATGATGATATTTGTAGATAATATGCAAAATAATATTTTCAGTATCTTCTTTTATGTTACGCTTAATATAAGGTGCACCAGTTATTTTACCAAATTGTTGTACCTATTCATGATAATTTGTATTTAATGGAATAATATATTCAGTCCCCTCTTTTGATTTATTATGACAAAGGTTTTTATTATATTCGATTAAAACAGCACCAGTAGAAAGATAATTTGCACTTATAGTATGATCTTGAAAGCATTCTATAAATTGATCAAAATAGTCAATTAAACCTTCTAGACTTGTTTTATGATCATCTATATGATCTTTGATATTATATTCAAGAAATTTTGTATAGTTTAATAAGTATATTAAAAAACTACTTTTAAATTTTATATTTGAGTTTGTTTTTATTCAAAATCATAACTTTTATATATATAATTTTTTATATAATCTAAAGATTTCGTTTTAAACAATTATTACAATACATTTTATTATATCCTTAATTTTATTTTAAATTCACATATTAATACTAAGTTATTATATTCTTTAAAAGTAATATACAATAGATTATTAACTAAAATCTGATCATTATAGTTTTATATGTATTAATATATATAAAAAATAAATATTTTCTTATTTTTATTTTTTACACAATATTGGTAAGTCAAGTTTCCTTCTTTGACTAGAACTACCACTAATAATATTTTTGTTTTATTATTGGTATATGATATTTCATTTATTTAATTTTTAACATACCTTATGCACTTAAACTTAGAACTGATTCAGTTAATTTTTATCAGTTTTATATTAGCCAAATTTCTGTATTAGTTATTGTTACTATGAGAAAAAATTGATTGCTAATATAAGGTTAAATTCACAAGCATAGATTATATAAGATAAATATTTATAAAAGATTCAGATTTAATAATAATAGATTATTAAAGAATATATTTAGTTGATATACAATTCATAAGATACTTTATTTATTATGTTTTAAAATAGTTCAAGTTTAAATATACTAAAATAGATTAGTTAAGTATTATACATAGATGTGTTATG